CCCCAAAACCCCAAAACCCCAAAACCCCAAAACCCCAGTATAATCCTCTAGTTGAAATAATAATGAGATATCTTAGAAAAGGTTATCGTCAGATTCATCTGATTCAAACCACTCTTGAGCTTTTATAGGATCTCATATATTATCAAGCCCCTTAACGATACTTGAATCCCAGATGAGTTCTACATGGTTAAATCCGTAAGTCTGCATGATATCCATGAAGTACTGCTTCGATAGGTTAGAAGCTTCTATCTGGATCCTTTTCAAACTTTGAATGAGGTCAGGCGTTGAAATCCCTCTAGCTAGATACTCAAATTGCTCGGAATAGGGCTCCCATAAGTTGTTGCTTTCGGATCCACACTCACGAAACCTCAATTCCTGAATGGCGCATCTTGTGAAACATTTCGAAAAATTAGCGGAACTTGTCAAGACAAACCTGCAATTAGCCAGCTCTACATTGAGTATATTCTTTACAACTGAGAAGACCCTTTTCAGCTGTTTTTCAGGTATGAAGAAGTGGGCAATAACAATTTTCCAGTTTCAGCCCATAATCAGTCTGGATAATTTAGGTATAAACTTCTTTAGGTCTATAGAGGGTAAAATTCACTGCAGCACGCTATTTTACTTGAGAACATCTCTACTACAAGCAATTGAAAGAAAGGAGGAGAGCTCTGATTTTCTTCTATTAACCTAAAAGGCTCGAACTTCTCTGAATATTTTGAATTAATTATATAAGCCAGTTTTTACCTCCTGCTATGCGCATCGAATCGGATTTTACATGGTCAGCATTAATCAAAGATTGCTTTAATCTCCTGACACTTTTACCAGTCCCTTCTAATACGATCTCTTGGAATGACAAAGAAACTTTGAGACGTGATAAATCCTGGATAAACTTGCTTTCTAAATTATCCATGGCAACCCCAATTCGGTAATAGTCAGAGTCTCAAGAAGAATACTTATATGTTACTGCTTGTCTGGTCTGTAAGTCTAGCTCCATGGATGCAAGGTTGAGGGTCATCTCATTGTTTTCCATTAAGTCTACTTTCAATTATATCTTATCTCCAAGGGGTTTTGGGGTTTTGGGGTTTTGGGGTTTTGGGG